CCTGACACATTATACTGGAAACTTTTTGTATCAATCTGAGGTCACTTAAATGTATTTAATTTGTTACTGTAATCCATAAAAAAGGTTTAAATATATGGATTTTTTCTTATGCAAAGAAAATATTTATATAAACTACTGATAAAGTGAAATAGTAATGCAATTTATCGACTTTTTGTATTTCTTTACTTTCAAACTACTCTCCATAACAGTTGATTCACTTCTATTGTCTGTTCATCTCAAGTGCTTTATTGAAGAACAGCAAATATTTAGCTCAGATTATGTAGGTCCTTTATATTTAGCTGAAATATTTAACTGAAATGTTATTAATAACATTGTTATGCCTTTCACAATATGAATCAGTGAGGAAGTGACACTTGAAAAAACTTTTGTAGGATATCTATGCTTAAATGTTTGCCATTTTCTTGCTTTTCAGTTTCCCAATCTATCAAATTAAATATAATATAGTGACTGAAAGTTTCATGAGAAAAATTTCAAGTACTTTTTGTGAATCTATAATAATAAACTACACTGGATATTGGGATGTATTAAGTGGAGCTTAATACTAGAGGACTGACAGCCAGTTATAATGTTCTATGTTGTATACTCAATTGTGATGCATTGATTATCTAAAACAATTACCCATTCTGAATCTGAGTCTACTTAACTAAAAAACACCCTTAAGTAGTTTAAAAATAAGTTTAACTTTTTTATATTTATATATTCTTTTATATTAAAGTGTGACATTCAGGCAAGCATTAACTTATAAAAATAATTTGTGTATATAATATATAGATTGCCAAATTATGCAAGTCAATGTTTTCATAATAAAATTGGTATTAAACAACTGATGTCAGTAAAAATTTCAGGATGAATTATTTTCACTATGAATTATGATCCAATGACTGACTATGCTATATCCAAAGTGTAGATTGGTGCAATGACAAAACTTTGTATCTACTGTGGAGCATAAAAGTGGGAAAATGAACCTTTTGGTATGTGCTGCACAGGTGGTAAGGTCAAGTTGAAGCTTTTAGGACTACTGAGGGAAGTTTCCACTAGTGCTACTAATGATTCAAAGGACTTTCTTAAAAACATTCTGAACTATAATAGTGCATTCCAGATGACCTCTTTTGGTGCTAAGATTATTCTTGAGGAAGGATTTATGCCTACATATAAAGTCCAAGGGCAAGTCTATCACTGTATTGGATCTTTATTGCCAATATCAAATGAAGAGCCTCAATTTCTTCAACTTTATTTTGTGTCTGATTTGGTTCAACAGGCTCAAAAGAGAGTTGATGCAACTAGTTACAAAAATTAACAGAAACAAAAAGCTGCATGATCTGCTTCATGAAAGGAACAGTTATATGAAAAGCTTTAAATTTTCTCTAGAATTATCACTGTCCTCTGAATAAAAGATTGTTATAGATGCTGACAAAAGGCCTTTAAGTGAGTATTCTCAATGTTTCAATATATGCTTCAATGCAATGAAATAGATGCAGTAATCAGTGGAGAAGAGTTTTTGTGTTATTGATCTTCAAGTTCTTAATAATAAGCTAAAAAAATATGTGAAATTCATTATTCATATGATGCTTTAAAATATCCCCTTGCTTTTTGGCACCAGTGAAGATGGGTATCAAATTGGAGGAAACTTCAATAAGATTCTTTCATGTATGGACTTTTATGCTTTCTTCCTTATGCTCCAAGAAAATTCTTTTAATCACCTTCACAGAGCTCAAAACCTGTTCTGCCAGTTTGTTGTAGATAGGTATACAAAGATGGAGGGAGAAAGATTAGCATACATCAAGTAACACCAATCAGATTTAAGGGCATCATCATTTTTACAAGATGGCATTAACAATGATGTTTTCATAGATGAAATAAGTCAACCAGTCATTTTTCCATCAAGTTTTATTGGCAGTTCAAGATATATGCATGAAAGAACTCAAGATTCAATAACATACATTAGACATTATGGATGTTCATATTTGTTAATAACATTCACCTGTAATCCGAATTGGAAAGAAATTAATGCTGAACTTTTCTCTGGACAAAAGCCATAGAAAAGACCTAATTGCAAGAGTTTTCAGGTTAAAAGTGATTAAATTAATGCAAATGAATACAGCAGGGAAAGTTTTTGGTGGTGTAAGATGATACATGTATACCTTTGAGTGAAACAGCAATGAAAATCCTACATGCAATATACCAAAGAATTCTGGAATTGCACAAGTTATCAAAAAGTATTACTTGATTGTTTGGCATGAATGCACTATAAACCATAAGAGCTTTGGATAGAACACTAAGGGATATTAGAAACAATGATTCTCTGATGAGAGGAATACCTATAGTGACTTTAAACATATCCTCCCTATCATTCCAAAAGGTATTAGAGCAGATGAAATTTGAGCTTCATTGAAAATATCAATGTTATGGAGACATGTAAAGATCCTAAAATTGACAACTAATATCTGAGTGTACCTGTATGGAGATATAACATCAAATCAATTGGTTGAAAACTTGCTAATTCTGGGAGAGGGGAAAGTTTTGATTGACAGTGAAAGTTTCATTGATCCCTCACCCATATGTACTTTTGAACCATCAACTTTGGGATTAATTACCAAAGTCTTTCCAAATATCAATGCTCATTATCAAAATGGTAAATGGTTGTTTGAGAGAGAGCCATTCTAGCACCAAAAAAAAATGCCACATTCAATTCAATTAATTTTGAACTTTTGAAAACTGGAAACGCCTAGAAATACATTGATACTGTTATTAATAAATTAGATGCAGTCAGTTATCCAACAGAATTCCTTATGAGTTATCTGGATTACTGCCATATAGAGTGGATCTGAAAATTGGCTCTTCAATAATGCTACTATGAAATGTTGATCCTCCAAAACTCTGCAACAGCACAAGACTTATAGTGAAAAGAATGATGCCTGATGTTACTGAAGCAACAATTCTTTCTGGTTGTGGGAGAGTAGATGTCTATATACCAAAAATTCCTTGATCCCCTACAGATGTTTCATTCAATTTTAAGAGACTGCAATTTCCAGTCAAACATAGCTTTGCAATGTCAAACAAATCACAAGGTCAACACTGTCAATGGCTGGATTAGACTTTGAAGATCCATGTTTTTCACAAGGTTGAATGCTTCAGAGTTGGAAGCAAAAGAAATCTTTACATTTTATGCACCTACTGAAAAAAAAACTAAGAATATTGTGTACAGAGAAATCCTTTTGTAAAAGTCTAATACTTAAAAATATGCTTTGTTATTTTCATTTCTATGTTATTCTAGATGTTTGTTAATTCTTATGGGATAGTTATTATATATAATTTGGGAACTGAAATCATTTCAATAATTTTGTCCCAGGCAATGCCAGGTACTTCTGCTAGTATTTTATAATCTTAGAGAAAAGCCTTTTTTAAAACTGGCTTTTATCATAGATTCTCCCTAAGAAATGTGATTGTCATCATAGATATTATGAACATTTGAGTTTGCTAGATTACTTTTATATATTTTCAAGAGTCATGCTTCTTAAAAATTATTTACTATGAAATATGGTTTTAATTCTTTTCTGTCATTCTTTTCAAATTTTCATTGAGTGCACACAAACCATCACCAACTGATATTGACTTGTAAAACTTAGTTTCATAAAATCATAATCTTGAATTTTTATTTAGTATAAAAATTCATATATTAAACATATTTTTGTCTTTTTCCCCCCTCAAATTTAGTGTTTATGTTATTTAATCTGATTCATGATTAATACTTTTGAATTGCATATCTTAATAAATAGGAGAATTTTGATATTTCTATAAATAAATCAGATTTTTATGTCACCTTTTGCTTCATATATATTGTTTTAATATATGTATCATAAATTCTCTAGAACAAAGAGTTAATGAAGTTTAAGAAAAACTGATTTAAGATAGAAGTGAAAATTTGAAAATATATTAATCTACTTGCTTAAATGCCAGCAGATATAATGTTAGATTAATGATTTACTATTTATATTTTCAGTATATGACTTTTTAGAAACTGCTTTGATATAGATTTTTTCTTTAGATTTTTTCATTGTCTCTTTTTGGGTGAGAATATATCAAGAATAGAGATATGAATATTACAAATGATTATCAGTTTTAATTTTATCTAAGTATTTTCACTAAAAACTTTCATTTTGTTTTTTAAGTAGTGTGTCATTTAAATTTTACTTTGATTTAATTTGATTACATTCTCTATTGATCTGAAAAAATGTTACTTTCTGTTTATGTTCAGTTTAGTATCACAGTTTCTTTTGCCCGTCTTGCTATTTCTATCTTTGTTTTTCAATCCTTCTATTCTGAAGCCATCTTGAATTCATTGGTCTGGTTATGATTTGACATTCTTAAGTGTACAATTTTCTCTGAGGCAATAGCATTAGTGATTTATGACTAACCATTTCATTGAATTAATGATAATGTGTGTGAAATTATACGTCATCAGAAAAAGAATTTCATTTCGACATAATTTGCATTAGTGAGACAAAATGTAATTTGTTATTCAACTGAAGGCTTGATTTTTACTTTAACTGTATCATTATAGAAATTAGATTTTAACTAACTTCAAATTGGCTCTTATTTATTAAGGTTTATATCTCACATTGTTTTAGAACTAATTTAGTAAGAATAGGTGATAAAATGAAAAACTATATCACTTTTTTTTGTTACTTAAAATTTTGACTTTGGCCACTGTAAAAATGTTTCAGCATTAAATTTATTTTTCTACTGTTTTTATTACATTTTTAGGGTGAAATTTTCAAAATTTTCCCCAAGTGTTAAATGATTTTCTAATATGCCTTGTGTTTAAATGTTTTGTATTTTCCTTTTTGGTCATTGATGCTGAGGATAGCCAAAGTCACCTTTTTCTCTCTCTCTCTCCAGTGTTTGTTTTTTTGTTTTTTTTTTTAACCACTCATGTCTTAATCATATTTTCAATTCTTTTCATGCTTTCTCAATATCAGGATGATGCTGTTGCTAAAGTAAGTTTTATTCTTCCTTTTTGGTTTTACCTTTTTCTTGCAATTTTTCCATCATTTGGTGTTGGTGTAATATTTTTTGGCAGTTTCTCATTTTAATGTAGTTTTCATTTCAGTTTGCTATGAATGGTTGCCAGTTGCACAATGTTCTTATTTTGAAATCTGCTATGCATGAAAAATTTCAACCACATGCACTGCAGTGTGGATATGTTTCATTCCAGTTATTTTCCAAATCAAGACTTCATATTTTCTCTCCATTTTCATATTGTTTTCTTTATCATTATTGTTTAATATTTTTAATTAATCGTACTTTGGTTTACTCAAAAATAAGTTGTTTTTGATCTATATAACTTTTGAATAAGCACTTTATGTTCAAAATGTTTCATTATAGATTTTCTAATTAGGCAGATGTATAATTTTATTATTTTTTTTAATTTCTTATTGTTGTGTATATAACCAGCATAATAAAGCTAATAGCTACCATGCAAACTTTTGAAACATTTTGTACTCAATAAAAACATATTCAAAGTCAATAAAATTTGAAATTGCTATCATCAAATTCAATATAAAACCATTGTTTTAATTTTAGAAATTTATTTAGTCATTGCTTTCACTTCTTTGGTTTTGACTTGAATTATTTAAAACTAGCAGCTACTTAATTCACTAAAGCTGAGACTGTGTGGCTTGTTGCTTTTCACTGTTTGCTCTTTCACTTTTTAGATCTGCTCTCATTTCTTTCTCCATATATTGCTATGGTGAGGCTGCTAGAAAATTTTAAAATATTAAATAACAATCCTTTTATAACTAATAATTAAAGGAAAACTTAAAATTTTAACAAACCTTGTGACATGCTTTAAAAATTCTCTTTAAAAAACAGGATTAGGAATTTTATTTGGAGTAAAAAGGAAACAAAAACTTTTAAATAGTTTAAATTATATATAAAAAAAATATAATTTAAGGTTTTGTCAAACAAAATATTAAATAGGTCTGAGAGACAAAAAAAATCAAATCAATGAAATGGTTTTGAATCTCATGGAAACTTACATAAAATTAGTATTCATCATAAAATATAGTCTTCACGTGTGTGTGTGTGTGTGTGTATATATATATATATATATATATATATATATATATATATATATATAATGTAAAACAGGCAAAACCATATATTTTTTCCTTTAAAAAGGTAAGACAGCACAGGGTTTCACAATAGGTCAACACCTTTTAGATAATTCTGATTGTGTACATAAATACACAGATTTATGGTTTTCCATTTTGGACAAAGCATGGTCAGCAAAGCATCTGCACACTTTAGAGGCTGTATATGTTAAATTGTGTTGACAGAAAGAAATTTATTCATTCTCATTTTTTTTACTGGGAAGCCTATTAGTATATATTTTCCTTTTTAAACTCACTTGAACTATTAATTCTGATTTTGGGCCAATTTCCCCCTCTTATTTTTTCCTCCACTTTTTAAATCATATTTTAATCATAGTTCCTCATTTCCTCCCAATTTGTCTATTATCCCACAATTCTCATAATACTTGTCTGCAACGATTCTTCTGATGAGGTGTTAGCCAAAAAAAGGTTACCTTTTAAGGGAAAAAATATACAGTTTTGTCTGTTTAAAATTATCTAAAACTTCTATGGCATCAGATATTTATTTAAATATATATAAAATAGATTTTGATTCGAGAGAAATGACTTTTGCATATGATGGTATGCTTCATCCAGTTATTTATTGTTTAACTGAAAATATATATATATATATATATATATATATATATATAACTGGAATTTTTTTACAAGTGCTTTGGGTGTATAGTCAAAAATTTCTCTATTGAATGAAGTTTTACTGAAGCAGCCTATTATTTTGCAAAAGTAGTTTCCTCACAAAGGGAATGCCATGTGATGCTCATAACAAAACTATAAATCCCTCATGACATTATCAGGTGGTCTTTGCATATAATTGAAGCTAAGTAAAATCAAATACCTTATTGTGAAGTGAACATTCTGCCATTGTTATTGCAAAATCAGCTGAATTTAATTTACTGCAATAAGAACTTTATTACTAATGCATTATTTATCCACATAATTTATATTGCCAGCTCAGAAAGCTATAAAAAGATGTTTACTTAGAATTTATCTCTTGTTTTTGAGAAGGGTTATTTTTATTTTACAAAATGTAAATTATTATCTTATTTGGTAATATAACTCATAAATATTTCACTAAGTTTGAAGTTATCAAAACCTATATTACATAACTGTCAGTGAGAAGAAAAATGAAATACTTTTCTAATATTGCACTGTTGTAAATTTGATCAGATTTTTCTGAGTAGAAAAACTATTGGATATAAAATGTATTACATATCTTGGGATTTCTTTTACTCAGAATTGGCCTCTTTTGTACTACATCCTCATTTCAATTACAATTTTTAAGAATAAATATAAACCTTTAATTTAAACATAATACCCCTCACTTGTATTCCTCACCACAACTGCATGGGTTTGGAATAGAATATGACCAAGAACTGTGTCTATTCCATCCTGTGCAGTTGTAGCAAAGGACATAAGGGTGAGACCAGATCTCCATTCAAGGTAAGAGTGAAGGAAAAGGAGTGACACCAAACTTAGGCATGGCTGACCATATATGGTAATAAAAGGCTGTGGAATGAAGTTAAAGTTAAGACAGAACAACACTAGAGAATCCATTCATGTATTAATCTCTGACAACCTTCTCAGCTGTTGATTAGAAAAGGACACTGAAAAATTTCACCACCTACAAAGTTTAAGGCTCCAAAATTACATTACTGGGTTGTCCAAGAGGAATACAGCTTTGTGGGTGGATTAAAGCATTAATTAAGGGGTATCTGGTTTCATGGCCTTTACAAGTTCAATCCCTATTAAGCTTACTTATAGAAATTAAAGGAATTATAGAGAAGGTATCTTTGCATATAAATTTTTAAAAAATGTCATTTTGATAGCACTGAGCATTCAGAATATTCAGCAAGAACAAAACAAATTATAGAATTGCAGTCAAACTACATGTTTTTCATGAATTGTCTGTTCAGTGTCTGCTTTTGTTATCAGGCAACAGATTTTTTTTTTTTTTTTTTTACAATAGTGAACTTTTTTTTCTTCTCGTTGATTGCATTAGTTACATTTTGCAGCCAATCAGTATAAACTTAAACAGCAATAGTATTATTCAGACTCCAAAATTTATGTGAAACAGTGCCTTGTGTAATAACAAAGCTTTTTTTTTTTTTTTTTTTTTTTCAAATTTGGTTCTCTCATCACTCTGGTAGCAACTGCGACCTTGTCTTTCCAGTTTTGTTTGTGTATTGCATTTATATACAGGAATCCGGTTTCATCATTCACAGTGGTGGTATCCACTAGTCTGTGTGTTTGTATCCATGCACAAAAAAGAAATCAGATATTTACATATATTCAAAACATTATTTTCCATCAATAAATTTTGGAATCTAATTTTTAAGTTAATTTACTTTGCCAGGATCTCTTCGGATAGTGGAATGAGGTCAGTTAAATTGCATTATTTCTTTATTGATCAATATTGGGTTAACTTCCATGACATGGCACAGTTTCCCAATCTGAAATTTGGTGAATTACTCATAGTTTGGAGAACAGCTCCTCCTGAAAGCCTCATTGATTCTGTGTATTAATTCTGCTAAATTAAAGCTTATTTTAATAATATACAAGTACAAGTAATATGTTCTCACTTATTTTTTTTTCTCAGATTGCTTTTGTGTGAGTTAAGTTGCAAAAAACTGAACACTAGTTTGTTTACACTTAATTGAAAGGGTCATGAAAATTTAATCTACAAAACTTTACTTCCATAAATACAGTGATATCTCTGATTTAATACAAATATGGATAATGTGAGGGTCAGAATAATTTTATATTTTCTTTCATACTAGTATTTTTCTTTTAACAGTTTGATTAAACTTCATTTAGTATAACCACATTTTGTTTTGTTTTTCTTCCTAGTGACTTTTTTATGGATCTTAATGGTGTCATACTGTATATGAAATTGTCTATCTTAGATATTAATTTCTTTTTACCTTTAACAGGACAATCCACTGATTGCTAAAGTAAGTCAAAATGTGGGACATTAAATTATTCTTCTGAATAGAAAAAGGGTTTACTCATAATCTGGTATATTTTTATATTGATTTCTTCTAGTAATCTCTTTAACATGGCTTTATTTATACTACTTTCTTTTTAATTCTCATTTCTCCTCTTCCTATCTATTTTCTAGTATTTTTATACTAATGTTCACCCAATACAAGAGCCCAAGGGCCACTCAAGGTAGAGTTATTGTGTGGAGTGTATGAGCATAAGAAAAGGCAAGAAGTGAAGTTTATGAGGTTATACAGGAAAGAAAACACTTAACCCTAGACTTGAAGAGGTCAAAATTATAGTGATTGGGAAAACATCCTGCCAGGAGTCTGTTACACAAAGCAGCAGTTCTTGAGAAGAAACTTGTTAGGGTGGAACTTCTTACTAATGAAATACAAATGGAATGAGAATGATTCATCCTTTTATACATGTCAGGGTTGGTGGGACCAAGGAATGTAGTTTGCCAAATATACCATGAAAATAGTGATAGAGAAGCAAGAGGTTCAAGTTTTGTCTATAGGAAAGGTGTTGTAGAGTGGAAAATAATTAATCACCCACAAGGCTGCATAGATACTTTTGATCTCTATCAAGATAGGCAGGTGAGGACTGGGCAGCTTCAATCCAAGTATGACAGTATTCCATTTTTTTGTCTGATCTGTCTCTTGTAAAGATAGTGTATAGCAGGTGGAGTTAGGTACTTACTGGAGCAGTACAACAGACCAAACATTTTCCCAGCATCTTTACTAATAAATTGTATACATGAGTTCCACTTGAAGTTTGGGGTGAGCTTGAATCCCAACATATGTTCAAGGCAAGGATCCTCCTTGAGAGAACACCTATCCATCATGATAGGTGAAATTTCAAAG